CTGCCCTCCCCTGCCCTGCCCTGCCCTGCCCTGCCCTGCCCTGCCCTGCCCTGCCCTGCCCGCCTCTTTGCTAGCTATGAGTTGTATTCCCTAGTTAGCCATGCTACGTGTCAGGTGTCCTCGGCAGTGCACTTCTACACACGTGTAAGAAGAGAGCCCCAAACCACCATCACCTGCCGGAAGCCCCTCCCTCCATCTTCTCTCCTCTGCCCACTCTGTCCCCCCAGGAACAAAACCAGCTGCATAGAGATCCTTGATCAGAAGATTCCATGTGTCTTTTATTTTAACCAAAAGATTGTTTTAGTTGATTTAAACACAGAGGAAAAACAAAAGATATCGTCAGGATGTATGTCTAATAAGGAGGGAGTTTTTTGTTTTTGTTTTCTTTTTTTGAGGGGTTATGCTGAAAATAAAGTATTTTGATAAACATCTTCTTTCTTTGACCTGTTTTATCTTAGGATACCAGATCGGGGCTATCAGACTGGAGAAAGTCTAGAAATATATTTGATAGATTTGTGTTTTTCAAAATGGCAACGGGCAGGTTAAAGTCTCTTCCAAAGTGATAAATTTCAAAGGGGATGTAATCTTGCGTATGCCTGTTTAATTGAGTGTTGCTAGATCCTTTGCAGGTCATCTGATTTTGCTCAAAGAATTATAGTCAGCTGTTGGTTCCAGGACCCCCAGGGATTTTAATTACGCCCTGCCTTTATATGCCATCAAAGAAGACACATCAGCGTCAAAGGGTGTGCTTAAAAGTGCTGTTGAGAATTGAGTGCCCTTAGCTACTTTTTAATTTGGGAAAGCTGGATTTTCAGCTCATCTCAAGTAATCCTTAACATCTCTTGCTCTGCCTCTCCTTCCAGTCGTTGCCCTACTAACCAGGATACTGGTTTTGAAATTCAAGAAGGGGAGAAGAGGGAATAGAACTGTTAAGAAAAGGGCTTCTGACTTTCCTGTTTAAAGAGGTGTCACAATCAACTTGTGCGAGGTAACATCTGTGTAGTTCCGCCATGAGATGCTCCTTCTCAGCTGTGTGGATCAAAGTAATGGCAGTCCATGTGAACTTCGCTCTGTTGGTCCACTGAAAGAACACGGAGCCTTTTCATTTTTCAACCCTCTTTGCTGTATTGCTCGTTCAGCTTTAACTCCAATCCGGCTTAAACATATGTGAAATTTGCTGGTCCTTGTATCACAGCAAGAAACAGACTTGTTTTAGATTCCTACAGAGATCAGTTCTGTGCCTGAAATTCTGCAAACATGCAGTTTGCTGGCTGGAGCAAACAGGAGACGGGAGTTTAGCAGAAGAAAATGCAGTATGCTCATTGCTTTTTGCCCAAGTTAAGCTAAGCCGGTGATGCTAAGGCCATTGTCTGTATCACGGGGCATGCAAAGATGGTTTATGTCAGTGGGACCCAGAAAAGCATGTGGGCCAGACTTAAAGGCACTACAAGACTCTTTCCAAGAGAAACACAGCTCCTGTTCCTCTACTGATGATATAGCTGAGTTTGTAACATATGCTAGATCACATGAATGTTGTAAAATACTGGCTTGTTGAGTGTTAACCAGTGATATGGCCAACTTTTTAAGGGCTGTTTAAATTCCACAGGGTGGCTTGTCTCTCCCATCTCTGGAAGACAGACGCAATGGTTGTGTTCACCTAATGTACTAAGCTACAATTTGCTGAAGAAGCCACCGTTGGCTGGGTTCCCATGACACTCTAAATCAGTGTTTCTCAACCTTGGCCACTTGAAGATGTGTGGACTTCAACTCCCAGAATTCCCCAGCCAGCCT